GAGGGTGAGGGCTCGGGCGAGGGTGAGGGCGAGGGTGTCCGTACGTACACCGAGAGAGAATCGATCTAAAACTAGGAGTCGCCGCAGTAACCGCTGGGAGGAAGCCACTGTTACAATTTGCCCCCATATGCGCTAGTGAAATCTTAGATCGGGTAATTGTACGGCGAGAGCGGAGCTAGAATGAGGTGTTCTCGCGAGGTGGTCGCTCGCGTTCGGCCCGCGCGTTGATACGAGCTCGCGCGAATCACCCACGCCGACACGGGCCTGATACGGTGCGGAAATCCGGAGAACGACTCGGAAACGGAGAAACGGGGGAGAGAAAGGGAAGGAGAGCGAGAGGGAGAGAGAGAGAGCGAGAGAGGGAGAGAAAGTGAAAGATAAAGAGAGGCGGATCAAGATAGATCGAGGGGTAGAAAGGGTGGGCGAGGGAGAAAGAGAGAAAAAGAGAGAGGCACGGTGTCGCATCGCGAGGCGTTTCGGTGAACGGTCCACGAGAGGATCGCGAGAGGATCGCGAGAGGATCGCGAGAGAAGCGAATCGAGGAGGAGGAGGAAGCGGCTCGGAAACGAAAGAAGAGACTCGCGGAAGCGAGAGAAACGGGGAGAAACGGAGAGAAACGGGCCAACGAACAGAAAGAGAGGGAGAAGGAGGGGGAGAGGCAGAGATAGAGAGAGGGAGAGAGAGAGAGAGCGTGAGAGAGAGAGAGAGAGAGAGGGAGCGAGAGAGCGCGCGAGCAAGGGTGGGCGGACAGTAGCGCACGAGAGCATCCCGTCGCCGCGATAATGCGACGTGCAGCTTCTTTACTGGTTCCTTCTGAATAAGTGCTTGCTGGGACGGTCCCTTACCTGCAGGGATATGACGTAATGGCAAGAGAGGTACGCATTCTTTGCTTTCTTATTCCCGAACGCGTCCGTCCGTTCGCGAGCTCGTCGAATCGGTTGTCCCGAAACGCACCGACCGCCCCTGCCCCTGGCGCGATCTTCCTTTTCCGTCCTTTCCCGATATTTCGCGTTTCTCCGTACCCGTTGTTCGGCGCGTTCATCGTTCGCTCGAGCAGCAACCCTTACACCGGGAGTCGTGTCGGTTTGCCCGCGAGTGCAGCATCGATGTCGGAACGCCGTGTCGGTCGCATCCGCGACGCGTATTCACGCGTACGCACGCACGGATTCGCGCTCGAAAGTGCCGCATACGCTTCTCGAAGAGCATCTCGTTTCGTTCGGAGGTTCGTCGTTCGTCCCGGAGTCGAGGTACTCGCGAGGGAGGCCGCGGTGTCGCGGTTTCGCCAACCCCCTTTTTAGGTTATGCGTTCAATCCGAGCGGGGAATCCTTCGGGATTCGGTGGAAGCTCGAATCGGGTGCCGAACGATCGGCGGATTCGCGGCATCGTTTACCCGGATCGGCCTCTCTGTTGGAAGCTGCATCGGAAGCGCGATCCCGTCCCGTTGCGGGACGAGAAACGCCGAACGGTAAAAGACGCGTATCGTCTCGCTGCCGGATCAAACTCTGTTTCTACCCTCCGTTTCTTTCTTTCCTCCTCTCGTTCCTTCGCTTATCTCCTCCCAACCCTCCAACTTTAGTCTTTGATTCTCCGTCTTTACGTTTTTCCTGTTTTTTGATCGGTTACCCGAAAATGATTGAATCAGGTCAGTGTTTTCGACCATAAGTTGCGCCTGCGTCTGCGCCCCGTTCGCTTTGCGCCTCCCTGTCGAAAACTAGGGACAACCCAAACATAATATTCCTCTTTGCCTCGCATTATTCTAATATCGTTTGCGAGTCCCCGTAGCCCGATCCAGAGACCCCTTAACCCCGATAATCGAGTAATCGTTGCCCTCTCCGGCTGGCGCAGCGAACGCTACGGATACCATCGCGCAGCTTCTTCGGTGTTTAGCGGGATCCGATTCCTTCCAAGAATTCCTGCTCCTCTCCGACGCGACGAGATGCCGAGATTTTTCAAAGCGATCCGCGATCTCCCGAGCGCGTCTTTCGATCGCGCACGCTGTCGGACTCGGGATACTGTTTTTGGTCCTGTACGTCCTACTTTTACGCGTTCCTCTATTACCTCGGCAAGGAATAACGAAAGCGCGAAGAAAAAAAACCGAGCTGGCCCGAGAGACCGGTGCAAGGATGTATGGATGTTCGATAATAATTTCTCGGCGGAGGCGCGCGCGATAGGCTTTGTTTATAGTCTGTTCTACTTAGTTATCGCGCATAAAACACGTAGGGTAAATTACTTTCCCGTTGACCCGGCACGGACACTCCACTTAACATCTAGGCGATAAGCATTTTCCGTGCCGAACGATCGGCGGATTCGCGGCATCGTTTACCCGGATCGGCCTCTCTGTTGGAAGCTGCATCGGAAGCGCGATCCCGTCCCGTTGCGGGACGAGAAACGCCGAACGGTAAAAGACGCGTATCGTCTCGCTGCCGGATCAAACTCTGTTTCTACCCTCCGTTTCTTTCTTTCCTCCTCTCGTTCCTTCGCTTATCTCCTCCCAACCCTCCAACTTTAGTCTTTGATTCTCCGTCTTTACGTTTTTCCTGTTTTTTGATCGGTTACCCGAAAATGATTGAATCAGGTCAGTGTTTTCGACCATAAGTTGCGCCTGCGTCTGCGCCCCGTTCGCTTTGCGCCTCCCTGTCGAAAACTAGGGACAACCCAAACATAATATTCCTCTTTGCCTCGCATTATTCTAATATCGTTTGCGAGTCCCCGTAGCCCGATCCAGAGACCCCTTAACCCCGATAATCGAGTAATCGTTGCCCTCTCCGGCTGGCGCAGCGAACGCTACGGATACCATCGCGCAGCTTCTTCGGTGTTTAGCGGGATCCGATTCCTTCCAAGAATTCCTGCTCCTCTCCGACGCGACGAGATGCCGAGATTTTTCAAAGCGATCCGCGATCTCCCGAGCGCGTCTTTCGATCGCGCACGCTGTCGGACTCGGGATACTGTTTTTGGTCCTGTACGTCCTACTTTTACGCGTTCCTCTATTACCTCGGCAAGGAATAACGAAAGCGCGAAGAAAAAAAACCGAGCTGGCCCGAGAGACCGGTGCAAGGATGTATGGATGTTCGATAATAATTTCTCGGCGGAGGCGCGCGCGATAGGCTTTGTTTATAGTCTGTTCTACTTAGTTATCGCGCATAAAACACGTAGGGTAAATTACTTTCCCGTTGACCCGGCACGGACACTCCACTTAACATCTAGGCGATAAGCATTTTCCACGGTAACTCGAAGGTTTTACCATTTTATTTACACGCAATTACGTCTCGTTCGAAACTGTTGTCCGCGCTCCACCGTTCCTTCCTCTCGGAATTTTCGTTCGTTATCCCGAATCCCTTCGACCGAGCTCCGAAACATTTTCCCGAATAACCGTAGGTAGGCGAAGGAAACGTAAGTAGATTAAGTCGTAGAGTAGCGGCCGCGCGAAGGGACGCGACGACGAGAAATTGCATCGTTTCATTTTTGTGCAGGAGTTACGGAGCAAGAGACCTTTTAAGATATGGGACAGCTGGCGTAACGTAAGAAAGGGACTGGTCGTTAGCAATTTCGAGGAACTGATACACCGGGGTAAGAAACGTGCCCTCCGAAATCGCAGTCGACGGTAACGATATCCTTCTTTCTTTTTTTTATAAGCGGAACATTTATTCGCATCGAGTAGAATCGGGACGGGATCGCATCGTCGACCGTACGGAGCGTTTCGAGTTCGTAGAAGAATTCGGCGTAATTCGAGGCTCGAACTCGACTCGCTCGATTTTCCGACGAACTTTTCTGATCGCGCGTATTTTTCTCCGCAGGCAAAGAGAAATTGGGCGTGCCACAGAACGAGAATGTGTCTCTAGTGTTGGAATCGGACGGCACTCAGGTCGAGGACGGCGAATACTTCAAGACCCTAGCGAACAACACGATCCTGCTGTTGCTGCGGCATGGTGAACGTTGGTTTCCAACGGGGGTCGACATCATACGCGCCGGTATCTATCTAGCGCTTCGAGCGGATTGGCCTGCTCCAGAAATTAGTAGTCGGTAGCGGAACGATAGCGAGAGTAGAAAAATAGGTGGAGCTTCGCGAGGGAATGTAGGCAAATCGGATGAGCGAAACGAATCGCGTCGATTCGACGAGAGAAACGTCCTCGCGTGACGTCTCGTTCAAGGACGACGACGCTGTCGAGATATTTTTACGACGAGAAAACGAGAGTACCTTGGACTCGTTGCGAATCGACGCGAATCGTTTGTCGCGCGCGAGCTTAACGCGGAAATTATAGGTCAAAGGTGTCTAAAGGCGACAAAGGCGACGCGTCGATCAAATATTTACGACATCGATATCGGGCGTCGAGCGACGACGGTAGGCTGTTAGCGGATTCGTGAAGAGACAGATTCGTTTCCGCGAGAAACGACCTAACGAGTAGAGTAGGCAAACGCATGGGCGGACACCGCGAGTAATCGATGCGTTCACCGTTTGCAGCGATTTCAGCCATTCCGAAAATAGTTTGCGAGACGATTCACGCCCTGGAGCTGCACGATGAAACGCCGTCGTGGAAAATCATGGACAATAAGGGACGGGTCACGGTGGTGCTGCACTGGGACCAGCGTTCGTCCGCGTCGTCGCAGGTGCAGCAACAGCAGAAGGTGCCAGACGCGCAGAGCTCCAAGTATTCGCCGACAAAGAAAACCGATCTGAGCGGTAGCCAGAGGCCGTCGCTGGTCATTCAGACTAGTCTGGACAAGCTGAACTACGGACCGAAATCGGGACACCTGGCGGGCGAGATCGGTCCCAGTCGCTACGCCAGCCCCCAAATCACTGTGATAAATCATGACGACATGGTACGAAAGCGTTCGCTCCTTCCTTTTTCTCTCGTATTTCCGTTTATTTATTTCACTTTCGTTTCCGCGTATTTTCTTTATCTTCGTTCCGTTCGCTTTCGTTGCTCTTTCGTTCCGTTACCGTTTATACTTTCAACTTCTTTTCACTCTGTAGCAACGATTCACGCGAGGTTTCCGGGTAACGAGTCGATTTCGATGGCGCAGGAGACACCGAGCGCCACTGTCAGGTCCAGTGGAGATCCGAGACGCCGTTAAGGTGGCACGATTCGAGCCCGGAAGCCTCGAACGAAGCATCGCGTTCGTAGTAGCCTCGAAACCCTCGAATCCTCGATCTAGACACAATCGTTTAAAACCGGTCGCGTGGTAACGACAGCAGCAGCAGCCGCCGCAGCCGCACGGAATCCCGGCCAGGCTGGTGAAGCAGGGTACCAACTCGTTCGACGGCACGACCATTCATATCCACACGCCCGAGTGTTCGAATCACATTCATCAACCGGTGGCCAGGAACGGGAGCCCGGTGAACGGAGCCGACGGCGGCCCGAGCGGGGAATGCGACTTCCATTGCTGCGCCCTGCACGAGGAGGGTCGTAGGATCGCGGTGCACAAATCGGTGGCTACTTCGCCGATTCAGGACGCGCAACATCAACAGTATCAGCAACAGCACCATCATCCGCATCAGTCGCAGCAGCAGCAGCAACAACAGCAGCAGCAGCAACAGCAACAGCCGCAGCAACAGCAGCAGACTCAGACCTCGTCGCCTCAGCCGCCGTCCTCGTTGTCGGACGGGACGAAACGAGCGGGTCTGAGCAAGGGTCACGTGCGATTCTGCGACACCGCGGACGAGGAGTCGAGCTCGCGAGTCGCCGGCAACTCGACCGCCGGTTTTCATCTGCATCATCATCACAATCATAATCAGGAGCACGACAGCTCCGAGTCCGAGACCGAGAACACGATCATGGAGGACGAGATCGTGACCTCGGAGAAATTTTTACTGCTCATCGATCAGCTCACGGTAGATCAGAAACACCTAAGCATCAAGGACATCGGCATCATCCTCGAACGGCTCAGCTCCAAGATCCTCGACGTGGAACGGCTCGATCGCGAGAGCGAGAGCGAGGAGTGTTACAACTGGACGATCAAGGCGATCATCCGGGGAGACGTGTTGCGGGAGCTAGGGGTCATCTACAACGGGAACTTCTACGCCATCTCGGAGCATCCCGGTTACAAGGAGGAGTCCGAAGAGAATAACGAGGATAACGAGGAGGAGGAGGAGGATAGACTTTAATACGATGCTGTTTTACTAGATAGATAGTTAGATAGATAGATAGATAGACAGATTATATACCTATTAATGGTTATTATTAATATAGTATGTATCGAGCTGCGCGGGGAGGGAGGGGGGCTTCGAGACGATTCGCGAACGAACGGAGAAAGGGGTCGAAGGGGGCCGACAGAGCAGGGGACGGGAAGGTTCGGCTGGGAAGATTCGAGGGGACGTTCCAGTTCCGGCGGCGACGGGGATATCGGGAAAGGTCGGGAAGACGGTAAACGAGCGGTGAAACGTGATTTTTTTTCAAAATGTTTTCATAATAAAACGAAAGAACGCATCATAATAAAAGCCAAAAAAAAAAAACAACAAATCATACGATACCTTAACTTAGTTCTAAAGACGGTTGTTGAAATATGTACTTATTAAATAGTATGTATACTTGTAGGAAACGTTTTTGGGATTACGGACATTGATTCCGTAACCGTCCACGACACTGCCCTATCTAAAACAAACAAAAAAAAAGAGAAATGAGAAACAGAGAGAACGAGAGCGAACGAGAGAGAGAGAGAGAGAGAGAGCGATTCGAGCCCGGAAGCCTCGAACGAAGCATCGCGTTCGTAGTAGCCTCGAAACCCTCGAATCCTCGATCTAGACACAATCGTTTAAAACCGGTCGCGTGGTAACGACAGCAGCAGCAGCCGCCGCAGCCGCACGGAATCCCGGCCAGGCTGGTGAAGCAGGGTACCAACTCGTTCGACGGCACGACCATTCATATCCACACGCCCGAGTGTTCGAATCACATTCATCAACCGGTGGCCAGGAACGGGAGCCCGGTGAACGGAGCCGACGGCGGCCCGAGCGGGGAATGCGACTTCCATTGCTGCGCCCTGCACGAGGAGGGTCGTAGGATCGCGGTGCACAAATCGGTGGCTACTTCGCCGATTCAGGACGCGCAACATCAACAGTATCAGCAACAGCACCATCATCCGCATCAGTCGCAGCAGCAGCAGCAACAACAGCAGCAGCAGCAACAGCAACAGCCGCAGCAACAGCAGCAGACTCAGACCTCGTCGCCTCAGCCGCCGTCCTCGTTGTCGGACGGGACGAAACGAGCGGGTCTGAGCAAGGGTCACGTGCGATTCTGCGACACCGCGGACGAGGAGTCGAGCTCGCGAGTCGCCGGCAACTCGACCGCCGGTTTTCATCTGCATCATCATCACAATCATAATCAGGAGCACGACAGCTCCGAGTCCGAGACCGAGAACACGATCATGGAGGACGAGATCGTGACCTCGGAGAAATTTTTACTGCTCATCGATCAGCTCACGGTAGATCAGAAACACCTAAGCATCAAGGACATCGGCATCATCCTCGAACGGCTCAGCTCCAAGATCCTCGACGTGGAACGGCTCGATCGCGAGAGCGAGAGCGAGGAGTGTTACAACTGGACGATCAAGGCGATCATCCGGGGAGACGTGTTGCGGGAGCTAGGGGTCATCTACAACGGGAACTTCTACGCCATCTCGGAGCATCCCGGTTACAAGGAGGAGTCCGAAGAGAATAACGAGGATAACGAGGAGGAGGAGGAGGATAGACTTTAATACGATGCTGTTTTACTAGATAGATAGTTAGATAGATAGATAGATAGACAGATTATATACCTATTAATGGTTATTATTAATATAGTATGTATCGAGCTGCGCGGGGAGGGAGGGGGGCTTCGAGACGATTCGCGAACGAACGGAGAAAGGGGTCGAAGGGGGCCGACAGAGCAGGGGACGGGAAGGTTCGGCTGGGAAGATTCGAGGGGACGTTCCAGTTCCGGCGGCGACGGGGATATCGGGAAAGGTCGGGAAGACGGTAAACGAGCGGTGAAACGTGATTTTTTTTCAAAATGTTTTCATAATAAAACGAAAGAACGCATCATAATAAAAGCCAAAAAAAAAAAACAACAAATCATACGATACCTTAACTTAGTTCTAAAGACGGTTGTTGAAATATGTACTTATTAAATAGTATGTATACTTGTAGGAAACGTTTTTGGGATTACGGACATTGATTCCGTAACCGTCCACGACACTGCCCTATCTAAAACAAACAAAAAAAAAGAGAAATGAGAAACAGAGAGAACGAGAGCGAACGAGAGAGAGAGAGAGAGAGAGAGAGCGATAGAGAGCGCGAGAGAGAGAAAAACGAAGAGGAGCGATCGTCGTTCGCGCCGTTCCGCTCGCGATCCCGTCGCGTTCTCGTGCCTCGAACCGATCGAACTCGTCTCGCGAAATCTCCAAGAGAAAATCGGAAGGATGTCGATCGGTTCCGACGAGGCATCGAGCGCGAGATCGCCAACTGCCAAAACGTCGTTCCTGACGAAGCTGCGCGCACGGTGCCGGAGACGACAACCTCTCTGGAGAACAGGAAGACGATCGCGAGAGACGTCGGAGTCGGGCATTCCTTCGTTACCGAAAGGATTCTCGTTTTCCTTTTTAAAACGCCGTGGCGCGTGTACCGTTTCTTCCAAGAAATCCTAGGGGATAAATCAAGGATCGAGGCCCGTTCGAACGGTGGTAATTCGGAGCAAAAAGCAAAGAAAAGGTTGTTGTTCCTCGCCGATCCGTAAACAGAAGAATCATGTAATCCGATTGCCCGACTCTCGCTGTACGACGCGCGCGTACGTACGTGCTCGCGTACGTACGC